TGCGTTTCACGCGCATGATTAACTCATAAAGCCAGATCATTGTTTTGTAGGTACTTAACTATTGCGTTTCACACTAGGTAGGCTATAAAGAACATTGTACGGCGTTGCATGACGTAAACGCGCTCGTACACAATAGTACGAGAGCATGAGTAATTGATAACAAAAACACCCAAAATGCCAGTTGTACAGTTGTCGGGCTATAAGCGCGACGGAACGGAGATAGAGGCGCCACGTTCCTTATTGTCTGATAGAACAGCTGGATGGCGCTTAAACATACATAAACAGCCTGTCTTTACAATCGCGACAATAAATGACAACACATATAGATGATAACTTTTTAAAAATTTACATTCTTTAAACATCAATATTTACCGAGTTATTAAATTTTCCAAAACAAACAATTTTAGAACACCCTTAAGTATAAAACTGTAACGTAAAGTTCATTTGTAAAGGTCACAAAGCATATGAATCGTTTGAGTGAATTTAAAAGAGACAAAACATAATGTTAGAAGGAGAGGTTAATGTGACGATGTGGCAACGAATGAAAAAGTCTCTGAATGTATGAATCAGTCATTTGTAGTTGTATAGGAGGATGTCCCAGTCAGATAATAGCTACCGATCGAGCCGAGGTCCGGCTCTCTCGGGCACCCTCGAATCAGAATGCTAAACGCGTGCTGAGTGACAGCCCAAGCCGAGGTCCCCTCTCGGGGACCCTTGAGCCTGATCACTCCATGGAGCGCCCGCCGAAGCGCCCTAAGAGCTTGGCGGCCTCCCAAACCGGTGAATTAAATAGCGTGACGGCCCGAGCCGAGGTTCCTTCGGGAGCCCTCGAGCTTAGTCACCATAACGCGTAATAGTAAATACGCGAGGTTCAGGCTAGGCGCCTCGAGCGCCCGGCCACCTCAAGTCCGTCGGATCTGTGAAGGCCCCTAAGGCCAACAGTGGCTCATCCAGCCAAAAAAAAAAAAAAAAAAAAAAAAAAAAGGAGGATGTTACAAATTTTGTTTCTTTTTACTTAATTAGTTTGTTTGAAAAATATATATTTTTTATTATGTATTTCTTTTAACGTTAATATTTTTTTATTATTATTGATAAGTAGCGTTAGAAGTGTGTTCATTTATTGTTGCCGTGGTAACGACACGCTGTATAAAATTAAATATGTACATACTGTGATAAGACCCGAATGGGCAAGTCCGTCCGTGGAAAAACCACGACCTCGCAGGAAACCAAGTGTTACCGAAGTGTTATACTTCTGCGTTTCGTTTGGTGGGTCAGATAGTCGGGGCCCACATTATTAAAATGTGCAACCCTACAGGTGTAACAAATACTCATGGGCGGCGGTCATCACTTAATATCGGGTGTACCGCCAGCTCGTTTCTCACATAATTATAATAGGTAACCATATTTTTACTAACGAAAAACAAAACCTTCTACAAGAAGGAAACAAAGACTTGAAACATCTCGCTCTGTATTCTTTTTATAAATGACTTTCAGGAGTTGGCTAAGTATCTCCGGAGCCCAAGATCCAATACCAATGAAATGAATATGGGACCACATGGGAAAGGCCAGCTTCAAATAAAAAAAGAATCATCAAAATAGGTTCGCCCAGTAAAAAGTTATGATGTAACAAACTAAAAAAAAATACAGACCAATTGAGAACCTCCTCCTTTTGAATTCCGTTAAAAAAAAACATTTATTTCGAAGTTGGCGAACATGCTTTCTACATGAATAACGCCCACTCCTTCGATCGGATAAAAAGTAAACGCGAAAAAGTCACCGAATTCGTTTTATGTAACAAATGCAATAGTTCGAAGTTAGAGAAAAAACAATGCACAGTAACAGTCCATATATCTCCTACTGCTGGGTAAGGAGAGTCCATTTATGTCCCCCTGCACAGAAGGGTCACATTAGGTCACAACTCATAGCCCACCACGCGACCGTGGACTTGTTTTAAACTATGTCATATATTATGGTAAATTGAAAAACGTGCTGGCTAGTTCATGTTACACTTTGAATATATCAATGAAATATTGTTGAACTATTACCATATTTGTTGCAAAATGCGGTTGAGCTTTGTGCTGATGAAATTAAATTAACAAATGACCCACTGTAAGTATGACATTAAACACCAACACCGTTCTGATAGATCGAGCCTTTGCCGTTTGAGCCTTCTCACAGTTCGTGCACTTCCTTCATTTACCTTTTCTTAATTGATGATTAATTTGTCAAACAGAAAAAAGATTTCGCTAGGATATTGTCATAATACCTATACTGTTATCAGTTTCACCAAGACATTGTTATTTAAGAAAAAAAAATTAATGTTAAGGTATTCGATAATTTTGTTAAAAGAAGATCTGCACTTTAATATAGTTTGTCTCCATCAGTTTATGTTAGGAATATTTCTATGGCGTGTTTTATTTTTATTAGCTTTTTAAATGCAAAAGGATTCTTCGAATGCCCTCCGCCGCTTCTATAATTGTAAATAAAGTTACGATCGTAAAACAGCGGAGGCAACGATAACGAAGTTGTCTGATAACGTGGCCACCCTACCACCATAATAATCTAACACGCGCCGCGATCTGTTCGCATACCTACATAATCATAATGTACCTTCTACGTATATCGCTTTATTTGTTGCGGGTAACAGGAGACTACGTCACCGTATGCTCGGCGAATGTTTTCGCCAGAGATCACACAAATAACAGCGGAATATTACTTGATTGTTATTTGTCTCGATTTGCACTGAGGCTGGCATTCTTTTTTTGCTATTATCTATGCACATAATGAAAATGTAACTGATCGTTGTCTGTAAATGAAAGATATTTAAGAAAAACTGTTATCGGGGGCCTTTAACAAACAGCAGTAGAACACAAAACAATGGCTGTCAATTTTTTGTCTATTTATCTGTGCATTGGTGCGCGCTAATATCAGAAACGACGTAACCGATTTGGGTGCAACTTTGCATTGTAGTAAGCTGCAATAAAAAAGTAAATATCAACTTATTGAATCACATTAAGATTTGTACGATATAATGTAATATAATAGCTAAAGTTGAATAGGACAAAACTATAGTTAACTATATATTATGGTCTGTAAAATGATGATGGTTGATGCAAGTCGAACACGCGAACGAAGGATTTAGTAGGTACTTTTTAAGCACGACATAAAATGTAGTACATGCGAAAAGGTAGTTGAGAATAAGTAAACGATTTCTATATTATTATATGAGCTTTAGAATTAAAACATACCTCTGATTTACGATATACCTAATTATAAATGAGAGCAGGTAGGGCCGTCTAAGTTTCAAAATAAAAACTACGACAAAATGAATATGTTTATTTGCAAAGAGACAATGTATAAACCACTTAAAGCTATTTGCTCGCTCTTGTTTATCGATGGGTGCACGCGAGCGAATCTCTTTATTGCGACTTAATAGGCGGTGTTTACTTTAACCTCTATAGATACTAGCGTATTTACGTTTGCACCGAGCGATAATGGCCATAACAAGTTAACCATAAGCGGCCTCGCTGATACTCCGCCCGGCGTTGGGCCACGCTTAATGGATCCATTAGGCGTTCGGAATGTTTGAGGAATCTTGTTAGACGAGTTTTCATTACATAAATAAAACATTATTTGTGTTTGAATTTTATTTGACGAGTTCATTTTAAACTTAAGTTGATTAAATAATGTTTGTGTTTTATTAAAAATAAGCAGTTTACGCCGACTCTGATTTGTCACATCTCAGTTGCAGACAGGGTTGGATTTGGTGTGGTTAAAAAGGTACAAATTTAAAAGTACTATCTTTATAACCACACCTTTATAAAGTATTTGACAAACTACTACACTACTATTTTCATAAATAATACACAAAAAATAAAATATTTTACTAAAAAACTCGCAGAAAATTCTTATCAGTTTGAATTTTGAATACGAATGGAACAGCCGTAGCATAAAAATAATACATTTATCGTACTATTAGACAATTATGAACTCTATTAACTACTTCATTGAGTGCAATGTGCAGTGACTGTTTGAAAAAGCGGAGTATCGAAAAAAAGTACCATTCACAGCAAGTCCCCGTTAATTGTTCATCGATGACAACTATAAATAGTCTATGGTAATAATAGAAAATGATTTAGACAGCTTAGCAACGTGGTAAAACTGCTTTATATTGTTCGATAAACTTACAACGTTACAACCCACGGAACTTCTTTTAATGTAATATTGATATTTATAATTAATTCTTCTTTTGATATTGGTCATTTTGGTAAAGTAACGAAGCATAAAATTATAGTATATATAAATACTATAACTATAGTACAAAATCCTACCCTGGTTGCAGACAGCTGCAGGAATTGCTCAGCGCCATCTGTTAACAAGAAAGCATAACTGATGAAATATTTGTTTAGACGTTTCGTTATTTTATATAGATTTGACGTTTATTTTTAAATATTAATTTCTTAAGTTAATGAATTATCCTTACAAGGCGGAACTGTTGAACAAAGTTCACCTTCAAGTTGTACTTTTACGGATTATTGCATTTATATAAAAATTTCTGAGACGTCGAATAATATGCAGCATTCAACAAAAGGGTGTCCCGAATTGAAAGTAAAATAAACAAATAAAATTAAAATCACTTTATTACCTTTGTTATATAAATAATAAAATAAAGGCACAAGGAGCTGGTACAGTTTGTGCCGATTGGAACACTGTAGTCCCGTGTTGCGCTGGACTTTAGCTTCTTCCCACTTCTTGAGGTGTTTTTCGGAAGTTTAAGGGACCAGTTATGTTTAAAAGTATGTAAAAAAAAATCAAACAATTATTATTATTATTATATACTTTATTATACATCACAAAGAATTAAATACAAGGCCGTCTCGTCGCTAAAAAGCGATCTCTTCCATGGAAACGGAAAATGAACTAATGAACAGTGGGTGGTGGTGTGCTCAATATAATGCAGTTAAACACAATGAAATAAACAATATGAATGTATCCGGCTAGAAGCGCGCGGCGAGCCCGTGGGCGCGCGCGTCGGCGTGCGAGAGCAGCGCGTCGGCGCGTTGGCGCACGGCGTTGACGGGCGCGGCGCCTCGCAGGCGCGCGCGGCGCGGCGCCTCCACGGCGGCGGCGGGCGAGGCGCCGGCGGCCGCGCGCGCCGCCGCCTGCGCCAGCGCCGCGCCGCCCGCCGCCGCCAGCAGCCAGCGCGCGCCGCACGCGCCGCCCGCCGCTAGCAGCGCCGGCGCCAGGTCCAGCGGCGCCGAGGCCGAGTCGCGCGCCCACCCGGCGCCCCCCGCCGCGCCCGTCTCCGACCCCACGCCGCTTTTCACGTTCACGTGCGTTACGAGCCACATTCGTTACTCTTTCACCCGAAAACCGTTCATAGAGGCTTTTTGGTGAATTTTACAAAATATTACCATACAATATACGACACACATATGTATTCGATAACACAGCAATGAGATGAAGAAGCAGTCCATGTGATTCTATGAAAATACTCTCAACATCACTGTGAATTGATTGAAAAATCTGTCAGGTCTTGTCATTGTCATTGATCTAACCTGAAGTCGGCGGGAAGAACCTTACTGCCATCCTAGCTGTCAAAAGTCATTACGTTGTTGTAATTCTCTCAAGTAAAATCATTGTGTTTTTACTCGTAAAAAAATATTTATTCAAAGTGCTTTCTTTAGAATATCTAACCTTAGTAATTGTTTAAAAAAGAGATATAAAATTTTTCGTTTTATTGGAGACACAGCAGTGTAACTTTACGAAAATGGAGCCGGTAAGTGGTAACAAAGAGAACGTTGACCATGACAGTGTTGTTGTTTCAGATGGAGAACAATTTCCGTCAACAAGTTCAGGGGAGACAGAGAGCAGCTCCTCCAAATCCTCGGAGTTTGAGGAGGGCACAGCATCGCACCTACCCAATAACCGTTCTCGTGCAACGACACGTAAGTACAAGTCAAAACATGTTCGTACCAATCCACATGTTGATTCTTTGATGACACAAGTGTCGAAAATATCTAATTATTTGTTATCACAATATAATAATAATATGATACCCCATAGTAGTGCTATTGCACCAGAAATAATGATTAATAATAACAATAGGTCAAAGAGTTCATCACCTTTCATCACATTACCTAGTCAAACTGAATGTTTGTCCCTTGATTGGGGTTCTTTGAATACTATTGATATTGATAATAAAACGATTATACCAGATAGTGATAGGGATTGGTTTTTAGAATTAAATAAGTTGCAGCAGTTTGAGTCTCAAGCATGGAAAGGTATCAGATACAAACAAGTCCTGCAGGGTTGCTTGGCAACAACCTGGTTTCACAGGCCTCCAGATTAATGATGAACTATGTCATTTCAATAGAAGCAAAGATTATCTGGCTTCAACAGAATTACTTCTAGCAGGTCTTTCAAACGAAGTTTTAGAACAGAGACAATTATTGAGATCAGGTTTACAATCTATAATAGACTGGGCGACTAATAACCCACAGAACTTAAACTCAAATAAATTATTTGATAACACAAACTTTGATGGTCACAAACTCATAAGAACTCAGAAACCATTATGCAAATGACATGTAGAAAGCGTTCGGAATGTATTGAGGTTAGGCGAGATCGTATTTTAAAAGAAATTTCCAATGAAAACTAGGAAAACTTCCACCAGCTCTGAATATATATTTAATAGGGAAGCTTTACAACCTATTTTACAATCTCGGGCAGGATCCCAGGTCGGGCTGAACAATCCAACTTATTTAAAAGAAAGAAAAACTTCAGAGCGGGGAGATTACTCTTTTAATAATCAAAAATTTAATTTTAAAAATAGGAATAGAAAATTAAATAAAAAAAATTAAGCGTATTCTAAAGAAAACTCGGCCCTTTCGGCAGCGTCGATCCAATGCAGAAGGATCAAACTTGGTCCAATTTCTTTGGGCTTCTTTGGCTAAATTGGACTCGAAAGAGGGATTCAGAGGAAAGATGGGCTCAGTTAGGTGCAAACCAATTTATTTTAAATTCAATAGCGGATCACTGCTTGCCATTCAGCACCACCTCCTCTGAAAATCTCTTCCCAAAATATTATAGAAGCTTTAGCTAACCAAAATTTCACCAGAAATGACTCAAATGGTAAACGAGTTAAAGAGCAAAAAATTTTAGAGAGCATCAACTCTGAACTCAAGCTTCCTTTCAAAGATGTTTTTAGTAAAGAAAGCAGATGGTGGTTTTGGCCCAATTTTCAACATCAGGGCTCTCAACACTTATATAACAACAAAACATTTTTACATAATATCAGTTGGATGTAGTGGATTTCCTGCAGCTAAACGACTGGTAAGTAAGAATCGATCTTCACCAGGCTTATTTCCATCTGAGTGTCGCGGAGACTCACAGAAGGTTTTTACGGATTGTTTACAATGGAGAGATCCTCCAATTAAGAGCCCTACCGTTTGGCCTGTCCTCTGCACCCCGAACGTTTACGGCAGTTTCGAACTGGGTGGCCGAGATACTTCGGGAGCTGGGCATACGCCTTTTAGTATATCTGGACGACTACCTCCTGGCTTGTCAGGACAGATCCAAGCTAATGACACGGGTTGCGGAAACACTGGCCTCCTTGGAATACTTGGGTTGGCGCGTAAATTACGAGAAGTCCCTAACAAGGCAGACTACATACAAGTTAGAATACTTGGGCTGCCTTGGGACACTCGGAACCAGACAATAGCCTTACTCACCAGAAAAGTTCTTGGCATAAAAAATTATTTAACAAAAATGTTAGCCCAAGACAGTTGCTCATTGATAGAACTGCAGAGCTTACTGGGCATGCTGAATTTCCCCAACCAGGCGGTGCCTCGAGGACGGCTTCACTGTCGCAGAGCATAGCTCTTCCTGAGAAGATTTACTCGAAGAGGACAGAGGAGACAATTATGCTCCAGAATGCGAGAGGACCTGCGGTGGTGGTTGGATGCAGCCGAGGGCAGTCCAACCCCACTACACAAAAGAGTAATAACCCATTTCATAACCACAGACGCAACGGATGCGGGCTGGGGAGCATGCCGGAATAGCCATTACCTATCAGGCAAATGGGCTACAACCCAAAAAGCATGGCAATCCAATTTGAAGGAGATGTATGCAGTCTTTGCTGTAATCAAGTCCCAAGATGCAAGGTTACGGAATGCCCACATTCTTCTACAGTCAGTCATACAATACAATAGTGTCATACATTCGAAACCAGGGCAGAACTCGTGCATTGAACCTACTGGGCCTAACACAGATAACTGGAATTAAATTGTCAATTCAACATAACAATGACAGCATTCCATTTACCGGGAAACCTAAACGGCATCGCAGATTACCTATCAAGGGGAAGACCGGTGCTCGAGTGTCATTTGCTTCCACCTGCCACGGAGGCAATATTCAGAAGATGGGGAACTCCCGAGGTCGATCTCTACGCAACAAAAGAGACTGCTGTTGTCACAAAGTACGTGACGCTGGACTTGGACTGGAGATGGCTCGGCGCTTTTCTACGACGCCTTCAGTCGAGGATGGAAATTCCGAATAGCATGGGTATTCCCATCTCCGAGTATGATACCCAGGGTCTAAACAATGCAGTAGGGACATATTAAGTGATCGCGCCACAGTGGATTTGGTTCCCAGATCTTCAGGCACGTGCTCTAGCACCCCGCTGCCGATAGAGAAAAGCTGTTGCCTGATAGAGGTACTTGTGGGCCGAACAACGGGGTTGAGCCCTCCTCAAGCGGAGAAACTCGCGCTTCATACTTGGAAAGTTGGGGGTGGGAAGACCAAGTAACAAACTGGAGTACGGATGAAGTACAGCTATTGAGAAGTAACTGGCGCACGTCTACCCTGAACACTTACAGTGCCCCAATAAAGAGGTGGTTGCACTGCTGTAAGTCGCAAAATCTGAACAATAGTCCGGAGGGTAAAGATGTAGCAAGTTTTCATTGCTGTGTTTTCTCCAACATATAATACCTGTTTTGTCTTAATGCAAAACAGTAATATTTTACGGTGGTAGGATCACGCAGTAGCCTCGGCCGTTGCGCGAATGGGCAGGCTCGTCCGCGTAAGTACCACGACTTCATAGAAAACCAACGTAAAGTGGAAGTATAATACTTTCATATAGCATATATCGCCAAAATGGTGATCAATTTTTTTTGAATTCGTACTATTTATAAGCTTTAAATTAATAATAATTTTACTGTCTACAATATTTTTGAAATTATATTTCACATTTGAGAAAAGAAATGAGAATGAATTTATACAATGCGTAACACCAAATTCTAGAATTACCATTATCATCATGTTCTTCTAACTTGGATCAAAGTAGCGGATTGAGGTAATAACCTACCAATTTACGTACACCAATAGGTGAATATTATTATCGCTGCAAATGGAATATCAAATTTATTTGTGTAATAATTGCAAAGTTTCATAATCCAGAAGGCAGATGGCACTTTGTTCAAAAAACGACTTCAAAAGGCAAATTATGTATTTTTATATACATATTAAATGAAAATAGTTTACGGATTTTATCGCATTTTTATTTTATTTTGATAATCCCGACATTTCGAACTCTTTCCAGCGTTCATGGTCAGGGGACAGACTGTCTCGTCTCTAGTCTTTCATTTAATATGAAAGAAAGATGTTTTTTTATCGAAGTAGCTAAATGACTTTTTATTTCTAATCGACAACAAAAATACGGATAGGACCTCTATAGAGGCAAAGAAGCGAACAAATAAATATAATGTTGTTTTTTTTTATACTTACGTCTCACCGGTAATTTTATTTTAAATATTGACATGGATTATCCTAAAACTTGATTTTTTTTTTAATATAGCAACACCGATTGTTGTGTTTATGTTACGTTGCGTTGTCTGGAACTGGACGTTCGTAAATTATCGGAAGAATAGCGCCAGCGAATAGATGAACTGGCGACAAAATTTCCTCAGATGTTTGGTTGTGCCAATGTGTCCCAATGTGTCCTTGGAAAGGAGCGGGGCGGGACTCACGTGACGAGCACCGCGTAGGCGCCGAAGGGGTCGGCGACGGCGAGGCCGCTGTTGGTGCCCGAGGCGTTCCAGGCGCCGCGCGAGTGGGCGCGCTCCAGCGAGGCCAGCGCGCTGTGGTCGGTATTGGCATCGGTAGCAGTAGGCGGTAAGCGGTAAGGGCACAAGGCGTAAGGCGTTCGGAGCAAATAGTTATGTAAATAGTTAGTACCCGTCCGCGTCGCCGGCCAGCGCCAGGGCGAGCGCGTCGCCGACGGGGCGCGCCCCGCCCGCGAAGCCGCGCCACCCCGCCGCCGCCACCGGCCGCGCCGGCGCCTCGCGCACCAGCCCCGGCCAGCCGCACGCGGACCACACCTCTGCCGGGTCACAATAACCTATTGCATGTCAGAAACCACTACTGCCCACTGACCTAAGGAGAACCGACCAAAGGAAATCACCGTCACTATTTAAACATCTCTCGAGTGGAATTCAATATTGTTATGAACACACAAAGGAACTAACGCCATCTAGCGTCAACTATTAAAACTACTTAAGAACAAAGACGACATAAAACCCCCTATTCAACACTAGATGGCGTTAGAGGAACTGCTGTGGAACTATAGTCTCGAAACCGGGTACATTCGCGAACTTTCCGGAATCACGAACATGTTCGTGCGTGTCGGGTACGTTCCAGGAAGGATCTTTCTGGATTAGTCCGGAACCGGTCTCGGCCCATATAAAAAGCCGCAGGGAGGCGAGCGATGACACAGTTCAGTTTGAGCTACCTTCGAGGCGACTTCGGAGTGAAAACTAGTGATCAAGAGCGATACCAGTGAAACCTACGACTTGGCTACAAAATAGGACATTGTTAGTGCTTAGTGTTTGGACCTAGTGCTTTGTGTTGGACCTAGTTCTAGTGAATAAAGTCTTCAAAAGAGTCAGCAGGTCTTTCTCTCCAAATCCTTCGAACCCCTAACACGTAACAATATATTCAATTACACTATGAACATTCGATTCATTTCTAAGGTGTGTTATCATTTTATACTCACATATTCAGAGTAGATATGAAAAAAGTAATACTAACATTTTTACATACAACAAAACCAAGAAATTGAGAGCAGTATTTCCAGGCATAAATGAACTACGAATGAAATAATCAAATATTTGTCTGCATTCATTTCTTTGATATTAATGTAATCTATGCATTCTGCTAAATGTGCCATTAAATATCTATATCCAATAAACAGGACAATAACATAATAATGACAAACACATTGTAACATAAACTCAAACTCAAAATATCTTTGTTCAAATAGAGACTTGTGCGTTCTTATGAAACGACAAATTTTACATAAAAAATTGATCCATAAGTCCGTAAGTGACTTTGTAAATAGTATAAGTACATAAGGCGGGTCTACCGGCACTGGTGTTCCGTTGCAGGTGACGCAGCAGCTCGGCGAGGGCGACGTTCGGAGTCGGAGTGCGCGCTCCCGTCGAAGCGCCGTCCTCGACACCGTCCTCCATCCCGCTGCGGGGCATAAGTTGATCAGCGGTCAGCGTACGCAGAGGGAGTAGATTTAAAAAAATTACTATCATTAGGTTTGTATTTATTATGTATTTCGATGAATAAATTTGATAAATATTTTGGGACATATTTTTACACGCCATCTAGTACTTAACTAAGGAAAACTTTTACTGTGGTACTAGGTAAATGACAAACATAGTTTTCTTTTGTAAACAAATACATATAAGAGATATATAAACACTACATTCATGACAAAATATTTTTCCAGTGGTGGGGATCGCACCCACACCCTCCGGCGTAATTCCACTATTCCACTATTCCACTATAGCCGAGCGCACCTGGCGAGGCGCAGGGCGGGCGTGAGCAGCCGCGCCCACGGCAGCCGGCCGCGGCGCGCGTGCAGTTGCGCCAGCGCGCACGGCAGCCGCGGCCACCCTCCGCCTGCCCCCGCCCCCGCCCCCGCCGCCGCCCCTCCCTCCCCCGCCGCGCCCCACTCGGCCAGCACGGGCGGCTCCTCGTGTCGCAGCCGGTACTCCCAGTACAGCAGCGAGCCACTCCTGCGGGTGCATCACAAATTATATTTTTTCATTTAGATGTCTCCGAAAAGAGATTTGAAATTTTCAATCAATACTCTCGCTATTTTCAATCAATCAAAACCGCACAGAACACGGGATTGTGGTGGAAGTGTTATACTTCTGAATTTCGTCTGAGTTAGGTGGCCGTGGCCAGCTTCATGTCCAGGACAATATAGGCAGCGCCACCGACGCGTCTAGGGCGGTGGCGGCGGGCGAGGCGGCGGCGAGGCAGAGCGCCGCCGCGGCGGCCGCGTCCATGGCGCCTCCGCCCTCGCGCAGCAGCGCCAGCCCGCCGCGCGAGCAGCGCGCCTCCGACGTCGCCACCGACCCGTGCGGCACCACCTGCAACGAACCCCCTCACTCTCTTCATCCACGAAACCATTCAATATATATGCAACATGCTACACTCTTCACTTCGGGTCCCTCGAGGGAAATAAAACTTCTGTTTCGTCTGGTGAGTGTAACCAGGGCCCCCTTTATTAAAAGATGACAATACATCTACAACCCTATGGGTTTTGCAAATGTCTATGGGCAGTAGTTATCACTTAACAGGTGAATAAAAAATATACATATTATACACTATTGAGAATAATTACTCACAGAAATATAATAATGTATAGTAAGTATTCCCTTTTTTATTTATGTTTAATTGCATGTTGTTTATGTCCATTTCTTGAAAAATTTTTGCATAATGTGGAATTGTTACATCAAAATTTACGACTTGTACACCCAGTTTCTGAAACACTTATTATCGTAAAAGTCAACTAATAAGCTGTCAAATGGATATCTACTATAGGTTATGAAAATAGGAAACCATACCATTGATATTTCATTTCATTGCCTATATAATATTCATGTATAATTGATATATTAAAATTTTTAATATAAAATAAATAATATAATTTAGTGCCATAAAATTGATTGCATTTATTTGTCATCAAGGAAAGTTTTTGATTTGATTTACTATATCTATAAAAATAAAATGATAAAAGTCTACAGTTGTGCCTGTGTCACAGGAAAACTACTACAGAGATTTCAATTTTATCATCTATAATTTATTTATTAGCGATTTGGCACTTATCTAAAAATTATTGTGATATCTTCATTTAAAGTAGTTATTTTTAAGAAACAACAACTTTCAGTAATAATATATGTGTTTTCTTGTTGTGGAGGAGGGTTAAGCGGTGAAGATCTTTAACTTCTTTAGCAACACTGGCGGAGCCACATGTATCGCCTAATTTATCAAACAAGTAGAAGCCTAGTCATATTCAATGGAAGTGGTAAATATCTAATTATTGCACCTCATAGTCTCCATAGTATATCTGCGTGAGTAGAGCGAGAGTGATGGCGGCAGAGAGGGCTGCAAAAGCGGTTGAGATGAGGCGCGGCCCCGCGCAGCGTCTAGGATCTGATCCGCTTGATTTTAGGGGCACATCCTCGCGTAGTTCTACCACACCTGAACATCAATTGCAAACGGTTTTTTATTCGTCGTTTAACGATAAGACCCTAGCAATTACTGTGTAAATAAATACATATAGATTTGATTCTAAAAACAGTATTTGTATGTACATTACAATATTGATAGGTATACTAAAATGTTTACAGTACGTACCCTAACATTATACACTTTTATGTCCCAAATCCTTCTGTGTATGCATATTCCTTAATGAAAACAATCAAACAAAAATAAAAAGTTAATTTTGTTAATTATTATCAATGATATTATATAGGTACAAATACAATATTAAAACTTCATGGATTATTATGACTACAAAGCGGCAAACTTCCGATTTATGATTAGAGTAAAATATAATTAATCTAGGAATTTGAAGAAAGAAAATTCTTTTCCTTTTTCGTCGTACGTCAAAGTCAATGCGTCAGTCATTATTATTACATTTTTTATTTAACGTCTTGGGGATTTCTCCATACAGACAATTCATCAACCTCATTGGTTAAATAACAAAGAAAGTTAACAGTCATCGATGCTGTCCTGTCAGCAAAAATTTGTCAGTAAAAGAAAATTTATAAAACAACCTGTCACTTTCACTGGCCAATAGGATATGGTAGGTCAAATATTTAGAACCGACAATTGACCAACACAGGTGTTTATGGGTTAACCTTTTTATTTTAGGAATACGCTAGTGCTTTTAAAGTACGTTAATGTAGAATTAGTACTTTTAATAGGTTACCCATCCCAATCTACAGGCAAAATTATGGACACTTAGAGAAAAGGGCTATAGCCTCGCTATCTCTATGGGCTTTTTCCCAAAGAGTACACAGTTCTGTTAAGAAGTACGTCCACTTTAAGACTGATTTAATTCATGTCATTGTTTTTGTGCTTCTGTAAATTTCTGCTTTCTTTCTGCGGTTTGCGTTTATAACAGAAGGTAGTGATAGTCAAATAACTTTTATGCGCGTCTACTTACGTTTTGCAAAAAATGTCTGAAAAGTTGTTGTAAGAAGTTGATATAAAAGTTATATTATCTATTTAGGTTTAATAATTAGCATAAAGGTAATAAACATTCCTTTTGATAGATTTATTATCTTTCGGATAACATTTGTATTCGTACCTGGTGGCGGATGGTCGTCACTTTGACACGATGCTGCCATCGTAGTATTCGTTCTGCAACAGGCCATAAAATATGGCAAATGTTTTACACAGACACTAACACTACATTTTGGTTTCGCGCCTAGATACTTTACCACCGAAGCTAAGCGGCTGATAACCTCACGGTGCGAAAATCTCGACATCTATCTAGATTCTTTCTATTGCATATTTAGCCATGCTTAACGCCATCTAGTTTATGCACAGCAGATGCCCTTTACAGCAAGCATACTACACCTTACAAAGAATATTTAACGGTGAACATTTGTAACGAGATTACAAGGTATAAATAAAAAAAACTATTTCCAATTCGATACCTAACAGGGAATGCGGGTCTAGTCTAGCGGGAATTGTGATTATTTGTGTAAATATATTATTTTATTCTTAATACTGTAGTTCATTAGGGCATTACTGGTTCTGATAAATTTAATAGACAGTATATGTTACACGAATTAAATTTCGACTACATTAGATAGGTATCAATTGTGGAGAATGCGGAGATTGAGGGTCGCAATTTCGGATTATACATATAGGGGATGTTATGATGTAGGTATAGACTTTTGTTTATAAAGCGATAAGCCAAGTATGGGTCTACCTGAGCATGACAAAAGGACCGGCCTTGTTAAGCGCGTGCCACAAACGTCTATTGGGCAGTTTTATCATGACTATGTTTTTTTGATATAATTATGATGTGTGATAACCCATCCAGAGCTGCTTGCGGTCCGTTCTAGACTCGAGTTTAATAAATAATAATAGTCCTGCTTTGCTAATCATCTCTCTTTATTTTTCTTTTGCCGGAAATATAAAAAAAACATTATTTTTGAAAAATACTACTAATACTCTGAAACAAAATAACACAATACATTCATAAATGATATATTTTCTTTTAAAGTTTATACACGACTCATGCTAGAGGTACCATCACTATTTTAAAGAGTACTTACTACGAGCATTGTTCTTACCCTTGAAGATTTTTATTTGGCATTTCCCTGGCACCATTCGGTCGAATAGATAACGAAATATAATTTTTCTGTTCACAATTGCTTTTTTCCCTTACCGTAATTCAAACATTCGACAGTTCAAGTACTCACATAGGAAATACACATACAATATACCAAACCACCTTCTGGTACTGATAATAATTTTCATATATTGTGTGGGTTCAAATATTGTGTTTGTAATTTGTATGATATAAATCTCGGTTGGTATCCAAAATATCGTCAAAATGCTATTAGCCCCCAAGTGAGTCTATAAGCAAGCGCATTCCGCTTATTTTGGTTTGGCTATGCGGGAGAACTGGAGCTTATTTTAGAAGTGTATTTTATCGCTTCTTAAGATCTTTTTATCTTACGATTAAAATAATCAAGTTATGGTGCTGAATTTTCAGCTTTAGCATTTCCAATTACATACTCCCTCCTTCAAATTTACCGAAGGAAAAGTTCCTGCAAGAACCCTTTGGTAAGGCTTAAATCAAAGTTCGAATATTTTTGCCAAAATCCCTGCAGGTTTGACTGAGCCATAAAACTAACTTACACAGCGTATCGTTACCATGGCGACATTAAATGAACACACATATAGGGGATAACTTTTTAAAGTTGTATTAAACATTTAAATTCTTTAAACATCAATATTTACAGAGTTATAAAATTTTCCAAAACAAAGAATTTTAGAACAACCTTACCTATAAAAGCGTAACGTAAAGTTCATTTCTAAAGGTCACAAAGCATATGAATGGGTTGAATGAATTTAAAAGAGACAAAACATACTGTTAGAAGGAGAGGCTTGTAATACGACGCTCTGGCGCGAGTTGTATAGGATGTAACATTTTTTTTCTTTTTTACTTAATTAGTTTGTTTGAAAAAAATTTTTTTTTAATTATGGATTTTGTTTAACATTAATATTTTTTTATGATTATTGGCAAGTAGCGTTAGACGTGTGTTCATTTATTGTCACGATGGTAATGACACGCTGTATATGGATATAATTTGATTGACATACATGTGTCTAATAAGCACATCCGGGGAAGTATCACGGCCTAACAGAGGAGCCGGTTTTAGTTCATAGTATCATACTTTCGAGTTTTGTCTGGTGAATGAAGTTATCGGAGGCGGAGCCTACTTTTTTTAAAGACTGGCAACGTATCTGCAACCCCTACGTCGTTGTCGATGTCTATGGGTGGCAGTACTAGCAACATATTATGATATAACTTTTCGCCCGCGGCTCCGCGTGCAAGTCGTTCATTATATTTCGTTCTTAAAAAGTACTTTCAGAACCCTTCGTGCGCTAGTCCGACTCCCAATTGGCCGATTTTTTTTAACTTTATAAAAATTTATAACCATGATCATTTTATGGTTATAATATACAGTTAACTATAGTTTCGTTTTTTCGACCAGTAGCTACCACTGCGACCACTGTAGCTATAACATTTAGCATTTATCGCGCTAATCTTCAATGTGTTTTTTTAAGTTGATATAACTTTTTTTTTTTATAAACCACATACAATGCATTGGTGAAAGTTGCACCCAAACCGGTTAAGCCGTTTCTGGGATTAGCACGCACAACAGATAAACAGACATAAATTTTAAAGATCATTGTTTCGGTTTCTACTGCGTTGATAAAGGCCCCCAATAAGAGTTTTTCTCAAATATCTTCCATGTACAAACAACGATCAGTTACATTTTTATTTAATGTATGGTATTTTTATTTAATGTGTTTATTTAATGTGGTATTGCAGAGTGTCTTCAATAATAAATTTTACAACCTAGATTTATTCAACACAAATAAAGATAAATTCAAAAGTGGGGTATTAAAAGTATTGGAGGAGGAAATGGCATCTTAACCACACACACTCACAGACACACACACACATGTACACGCACGCACACATGAACACGTACACACACACGCACACAAACACACAAGCACGCACGTACAAGTAATCCATAATAATGCCTAAGTATCAAAAGTTTTCATGTTTTCTACTGTCGTAATTTAAATAATTTAGCAGAATAATGTAAATCCAAATTGCCTTTGAGTTTTAGTAATAAGATTTTTATATATTTAGTTCGGTTCCGTTTAAAGTATTGAGACCCAATTGGACTGACGTTCGACAAGAAGTCCTCGTTCGTGCCAAATTTACCTTTTAAATATTTACGTGGAGTCAAGTGAGATGTTACTTACACGTATAAAGGGTTTAACGGCACAAAAAACAGTACATTATATTAGACAGACGAATGCACATTCAACACAATTAGAAGTCAGTTTATCGTGAATCTGTATCCATAAGTTTTGGGTTATGTATACATTAAATAGAAATATGTATGTACGCATCTAGTACATAATTATGTGAGGAAAACTGCATATTTTGGAAATAATAACAAAAACATTTTGAAGATGTGGGAATTCCATCAATTCGCAGTTTGACCGCGTGGTGGACTATGCCATGATACCCTCTGTACAGAGGAGGCCTTTGCCCAGCAGTGGGACACGTATAGGCCGTTACTATATATCCGGGGAGTTATTTCATTCGGTCTAAGCCAACGGTCACCTATATACGGCCATGGGATGTTTTACCGACATATTAGGCCCCAAAAAGCTATTTCTGAAACAAAACAACCCCACTTTGCACTTTCATTTCATTTGACTGACAAATAAAAGTGCTACCCACATCTCTCAGCTAGTTAATAATGCACGATCAACATTAAAAGGTTACACAAAGCATTAAATACTGTTAATTATCACATTAATATCTCATAATATACATAAGTGATGAACAAGTAAAATAAACAAGTAAATAAATAATCTTACAGCAATAGATTCGATGACGTACATATATACCTAATTTATGTTTAATTTTGTAATCAAATAAATAAACCTTGAAATTACGGATGTCCTGCGTCTATTTGAAGCACTATAAACAAGTTTAAGTTGTACTAAAAGGAAAACAGTACAGAAAAAAATGAATATACCGTATTACAATCCTCCAGTGCGGATACTTTCACTAAGAGAGGGAAGTATTAAACCGTTTTAAGCACAGACAGCAGTACAAATTGCAGTGCAGTAAGAGGCGCCGCGTCGTGTCTAAATAATAACATAACAAATATAAGCAACAACAATCCTAACCAAGATCAAGCAAGGCCGATTATTTGGCGTGCGCGCAGACACGGTGTGCGCGGCGCAACTGGCCGATGACGTCAGTCACACCGTCTTCGAAAGTCTCCTTCGTTGAATGCTAGGGCTGGGCTTGTGCCGTCTACTTTATTAATATTATAAAAATAACATTTCTTTTCCTCTTTGTAATAATTTACTGTAAAGCTACTTTATCCGAGTGTTGGTGTGTTATATAGTTATAATTTTTTCAGATATTGGTCTTAAAATAGAAACCTCAACCTTCCTAAATTCTGCAGTGAAGAGAAACCTCTCCTGTGACGTTATTCGAATAGCTAAGTTTAATACTTGGTTAATTTAATTTGCCCTTCATTCCTAGTGCAAAACCGAGGCAGAGGTGCTAGTTTAAACGGTTTTGTTTAACTTACTTTTCTTATCGTTAACAGCCAATAGAAGTACCGCAAACGAGCTGTTCTAATGTTTTTTTAATTCCAATTTTGCAGTTTCTATAAGTACTTGATATTTGTTAATTAGTTATTTAAAAACCTTAACCATAGTGTAAATATTTGTACAGTTACGTATTTATTTTGTTACTAATAATATCGCAGCTCGTAGTCATGCAAAAACATTTTCAAATTAATCTGTTCTTAAACTTTGTTTCAAAAAGAGAAACAACAAAGATTAACATTATATAAGTATAATTATGATCAACACTATGATGTTACGAAGAGAATTTAGCTGGTGTACAAACAACAATCACAAATACAATATTTGTAATGTTATAAGTGTGAATTTGTTTAGCACTTAGTTAAGGAGCGAATTTTATACTCGAATGTGGGCCGTATATCATTACATTTCTAAAATTATTTCTTAACGTACATTTGTTATGACGAAAACGTATTAAATTTTAATTTATGTTAATATAAAACATTGAGAATTTTATGATGTAAGTAAGTTATGTATTAGGTAGTGTGATTACTTTCCATATTTTAACGCTTAAGAAGAATGTTAGCTCTTATTATTTAATCGGTTATGACTTCGGATTCTTAAATGTACTTATATACTTAGCAAAAGAATTGGGGGATTTTAGTGTTTGTTCATTGCAAAATTATGCCTTGCTGTTAATGGGCATGGCACGTAGCTGTCAGTAATATTGCTGAGTGCGACGGATGTCTCACTTTTGTAACGGTATCGTGGAACAGTGACGTCCAACTAGTGCAAGAGTGAGACACCAAACAAACGGTGAATGACCTAGAGAGTAGAGACAGCGGCGTGCCGGCGCGTACGCCATATCGTATCATATCACTGGGTGTACATCGGCGCTTTTTTTTTTTTTTGGCTGGATGAGCCACTGTTGGCCTTAGGGGCCTTTACAGATCCGACGGACTTGAGGGGGCCGGGCGCTCGAGACGCCTAGCCTGAACCTGGCGTATTTATTTATTACGCGTTATGGTGACTAAGCTCGAGGGCTCCCGAAGGAACCTCGGCTCGGGCCGTCACGCTATTAGTTTCACCGGTTTGGGAGGCCGCCAAGCTCTTAGGGCGCTTTGGCGGACGCTCCATGGAGTGATCAGTCTCAAGGGTCCCCGAGAGGGGACCTCGGCTTGGGCTGTCACTCAGCACGCGTTTAGCATTCCGATTCGAGGGTGCCCGAGAGGGCCGGACCTTGGCTCGATCGGTAGCTGTTAACTGACTGGGGGGATCTCTAGAGATATCGTTACTACCACTTCGTAAAGCGTTGGCGCTGGGAGAAGAAGTGGCGGAAGAAACTCCAGCAACGCTTCTATCGTTAATAGGGGAGAACCTGCCAGGTACGTGGCGGAACCTAGTATATGTTTGCCGCACTCGCTGGCGAGTGCGGCAAACCGCGGGAACGGGGTCGCGAAGTGGCTCTAAAGCTTTCCTTTCAACCTCTTCGTTCACCTTGCGGAGGTGTTCTGGGTTGACCGGAAGCAGACTAGGGACGCATTGGGACTCTAGACTGTCAGCTAGGCATTCGGCTTTCTCTTCGTCCAGCATTGCTGGCGTTCCTATCGGGCGGATTAATGGTGGCATGTTTAAAGTGGAGTTTCGCTTTAAGGATTTGGGAAGTTTCCAGAAGGCTTGGTGGGACGGTTTAATTGAGGCTAAGGTGGAGTCCCACCGATCGTTTCGTGAGTCTGCTATGCGTGTTTTGACTTCACGCTGCAATTTACGTAGCAGTCTGCGATTCGAGTCGGTGGGATATGTATCATAGGCACGTGTGGCAGCATTCTTGCGTCTCAGTAAGTCACGCACATCGTCTGGCAGGGCCCAGCGATGGTCGTCCATTGCTGGGACCTGTCTCGAGCATTGCTCGACGACGGTGTTGACGTGGCTCGTGAGAGCTCGAATTGCTGTTTCAGTGTCTTGTTCGTTACTAAGTTGTTCGGGAATTGATTGCAGAAGCGGAGGATTGGGCTCGTTGAATCTAGTTTTTACTTTATGCCAACTAATGACTATCTTGGTTGGGGGGGGGGGGGCTATTGCTGAGGGCCCTAGCCGAAGGAGAACTGGTAGGTGATCAGAGTGAAGCTCCTGTATCACTTCTGGATCGCGTATGGAGAGACTGATGTTTTTGGTGACTGCAATATCAAGCACATCCGATGAGTGTTCCGCTATGTAGGGAAAGTGCGTATGTTCGACGGGGGCTACAACTTCAAAGTTGAGCCTGTCGGATAGCGAGTCGAGTGCGATACCTCGACTGTTGGTACGTGTCGAGTTCCATCGGGTGTGCCTCGAAATCTGATTGTAAGGTGATGGGAATGTGGCCGGTTAGTGCCAGCTGACAGACGGAGGCCTCGAGATGCGTGAGCGCGTGCGTATCTACCGGTACGCAGTGGAGGGATTTTTTATAGTAAATTAGTGTGCCGCCGCCCGGGGCGCCGGCACGTTCGTTTCTAACTATCCGATAGTTGGGGATGTGCGGATCCCTTGTCGCGGTTTTCAGGAACGTCTCCTGAATTAGTAGTACATCTATTTGGTGGTCGCATAAGAGAATACGTATTTCGTCGCGTTGCTCTTTAAGCCCGTTCGCGTTGTAGAATGCTACATTAATCGATCGCGGTTTGGCTCTGCCGTTATTTCGCGTGGCAGAGGGACTGATATTTTCGTTATTATTATTTCTAATTGTACTATCCATGTTCGGTTTAAACTGAAAGTGCAGCAACTATGTGCTGGTACTGGTCTAGAAGGAGTAATCTCTAGCTGAAATTGCCTTTGGCATATTGCTCGGCGAAATGCATAACCTCCGCCATGTTGACGGTTCGGAGTAGTTGACTTAGCGAGTCCAGGGGGTTGCCCCCGGCCGCTTTTGGTGGTGATGGGATAAGCGCCGGTTCGGGGGCTGGTTTGGGTTCCGCGAGTGGCGGATTCGGTTTGGCCCAAGCGGGGGCCATGGGGTTCTGCCACGCGGGGCGAAGAGGAGGGAATGAGGCGGCCGTTGGAATTGGCTGCCTTCGTGTTGCCTGAGGGGCGGGCCTAATGGGTCTGCGCTTAGGTGCGTTGGGGCAGCCAAGATAGTTGGCTGTGTGTCCCTCCGACTGGCAGAGGACGCATGCGGGTGGACCGTAGTTGGCCAGAAGGGCCTTGTCCCTTGGTCTGGGACAATCCGGGGTGCCGTGGTCGCCTAGGCACTTTACGCACCTGGGCTTGGCAAAGCAGTTACGGGCGGCGTGCCCGTAATTTTGGCACTTATGGCACTGTCCCGGGAGGGTGGCCTTGTGCGGGGGTTCGATAACTATGTTGGTCAGTCCTATGACTGACTCGATATTAAAAATGGCTTCCTCTTCTGGGGAGAGGTCTAGGTGGACCATGACCATGTCTATTGGGGTGCGTTTACGCCTACTTTTCGTGCGGTGGACCGCATGAACGGGGAGGTTTTGCTCCTTAAGGGAGTCTAGCACCGTTTCGGTGGGAATGTTGGAGGGTATACGCTTTATGAAGGCGCGTAGGATACGATCCTCGGCCAGCGTATAGGTGTGGTAGAACACCTGTTTTGCCCCTAAAAATTTGGAAACTTGACGGTGGGCGTCGGCAGTTTCAAGCTGAAGCTTGATGCCTTGTGCGGTTGTTGTGGCTACAAATTTTAGCCTGTTAGAAAGGGCGGAGATAGCCTCCATCGGCCACTTTTCAGTGTCTCGAATGAAGAGTGGGGGTGGGCGCTTGTCCTGCGGCGCACGTGGGGCTGCGGGAGGCGCGGGGGTTGGTTGAGAAGCAACCGGGGTTTGTTTCGCTGAAGGCGATGGAGTCGGGGGAGTGGGCCTTGAGGGCCCGGCTATGGCCGATTCGGTCGGCCTTGGCGCCTTGACTGGCGGAACGGGGGACGGAGCCGCTGAGGACGGCTGCGAAGAGCGCTTTTTGCGCTTGCACTTCTTCTTGTTCACCACTTGGGTGAACAAGCCGCCTTCATCGGCGTCGGGGGAGAGCGGCGAATCGAGCTCCATTTCCTCTTGCGAGGAGGAGGAGCTCGTAGTGGCGCCTTGTGAAGATGCCCTTGAGAAGGGTCTTGATGAATTCGTCACTTCTTCGACGACTTTCCTATATAATTCCGGATATTTTTCCATCAGGAAGTCGAGCATTCCCTCCGGGTGGGCCATCTCGACTGGGACGTTATCCTATTATATGCAATTTATGCCGGTGGGATGCCGGGGTGTGTGCCCGTATCCCTCCCTGCCGGGTATAGGCAGGGAGGATGAGTGCCTAAATTACATCGGCCCATACGACAATTGGCTTATAAATGAGGTAACAGTTTGTACCCTGCGACTGGGGGAATTTTTTCTCGAACATACTGAAATATCAAAACATATGATTTGAAAACGTATAATACTAGCTGTGTCCGCGACTTCGTCCGCGTGGAATTTAAAATTAAAAAAAATCTAAAATAAAAGAGTTACTTTTTATTACATCAGCTATCTGTCAGTGAAACTCCCGTACAAATCGGTCCAGCCGTTTCGGAGATTAGCGGGAACAAACAGACAGACAGACAGAAAAAAATTGTAATAAATGTTATTGTGGTATATATACTGTGAATACATCCATATCCATTTAGTAAAAAGCGGTTGTTTTAGTATTACAAACAGACACTCCAATTTTATTTATCTGTATAGATATAATAGTTGCCAGCTAATCGCTTACAGAATTGTAAACTAGCCAAATTAATAAGGTCAGTCTACTGGAGTAGGTTCGCCGAATCTCGGACTTTTACCGTTCCATACAGGATGCTCTTATAGACGACGGGACATATCAACAGAGCATATGTAGAATTTCGAAAGGATATCGAAAGTGACAATAAAAAGTTATTTTACGTCATGACGACGCTCCATTATGATTATAGTATGCTCCATTATAAACAGCAAAACTGGTTCGCAAGTTGCCCGCCAGACTTTGCACCTTTCGATTACCACTTGTTCGCAACGATGGGTCACGCGTTGAAGTGAGCATGTGAAAAAATGGCCTCAGTGACCCGCAGCTAAAGGTGTGGTATTTAAAAATTACTTGAAACGTTTTTTTTTCTTATATGAGAAGGTGACAAACAAGTCGGCGGTTCATCTGATATAGAGTGACAACCGCCGCCCTTGGACATTTGCAACACGCGAAGGATTGCAGATGCGTTGCCACCTGTTAATAAAGTGAGCCCCGGCTACCGCACTCACCACAGACGAAACACATAAGTATACACTTCTACATCATACCGGTCTTCTTTGATGTTGTGGCATTTACTTGGTCATCCGTGCAACAGTGAAGACTATTGCGCGGCCCTGCCACCGTTAACTTTATTTTGTTAGTATATAATTTTATTTTATTCGCTAAATTGCAATCACAGATTGTTTTCAATATGTGGTTCATATTCAATATAAACATATATAGAGAACATTTTTATTGTATTTACAAAAATGCAATAAAATTTTACTGAAAATAAAAAGGTTTATATATACAATGTATGTAACGTGAGACGTAAATTGAATATTAGTATTCTAGGTTAGGTAAATATAGAAGTAGAAATTTTACTGAACATCAGCCACTTATTTTCATGTCTATTGCCGCTTTTGTAGCTTTAGTACAACCTATAAGCTACGCATTATTTTCCTTGATATATAGGTATAAATATACGTAGGTGTATCATAACCCTTGACGAACTATATAGGCTAGATTAGAACATTGAACATTACTCATTAGGTCCTGAAATGACAGGAGAAACAGTGAGGAAATTCTTAGAAAAAAAAAAACTAGCGACGTAAAAGAAATGTCTCAAATCACTTGAATCCACTCGTGCTAGAAGCTACTTTAGCTCTATGACTAATAAGCGACGTCTGAAAGCATAAAATCAATAACAAGCCTTAAGGGTATTTGCGTAATCTTCCCAACCTTCAACTTGGAATACATATTTACGGTAACATGTGGGCGGCATCCGTATATCTTTTGTCACGTGTATGTGTATGATGCTAACAAGATCAGCGGTCACTGGGAAGCCTCGCAATGGAGTAATCCTCTATATAGGTGGGCAGCAGCAGGCCAGGGGCGCACTCTGCCTCAGCGAGTCGGCGGAGTTCTTGGAGTTATTCTGTTTACAAAGGAGCCTCAAAATGGTGTACAATTTCAAGGTGTTCAAGAAGTGTGCGCCCAACGGCAAGCTCACGCTGTACATGGCCAAGCGGGAGTTCGTTGATCATATCTCCTTCGTTGAGCCCATAGGTCGGTGCATTATATAACAAAAACCTTTATACTACTTATATTAATTAAAATTTTGAATTTTGGTCTATACCAACATATCATATCCATACAAAATTGTAAAAACACGTGTTTGAAAGAATAATGGGCACGGCGCGGCGACGTGACTCCATTGGGCACAAAGGCGGCGGCACGTGCCCCCATCGATCACAGGGTGCAAGTCGAGTCGAGTGCAGTTCGCGGGAGGGCGCGTTCGGCAGAGCGGAGGCGATTCCAATGGCTGCAGCGGATGGCGGGGCGATCGATCAACGCAGCACTCACCTGGCCGCGGGCCGCACCGGCCCCGTCGCTCCTCGTGACCGATGTGCCCACCGCACTTGAGCTCCTGCTCGAGAACCGTATGCGGTTCATGTGTCTACATTTTCTCACAATTTGCGCGATAATATTTTGGCGTGTAATATTGTTCGAAAACTGGAATTGGAGAGAGAGGATGTAATGCGGTTGTTAGATGAGCCAAAGGCATAATTGTAGTCACCGCGTGATCATTACACTGAATGCTAATATCCTTAAGGGTTCTCCATTGTCTCGACAGGATCGTCTCCAGGAGAAAATGCATTCACTGTGGAGCGCTTTTGAGTAGCGACCTACATTTCTCGAGAGCTCTCAAGTTCGCGCTCGCACCGGCTTTGCCATGGGGTCATCGATTTCTCACTAGTTTCGTGTAACGTGATTATTCTATTGGTTTTGTCCACGTTAACTCATCTTGAGTGGCCAACGCTTACAAACGTGAAAATCTGCTACCATCGACTTTAGATTTGCGTAAAGTGATTGTGAAAAAATTAAAGGTTGCCTGAAAGAAATTGCTACCTTTGCAATAAGGCCGACTATATGTTACACTATGTATCCTGTATTTCCTTGTGTGCAATAAAGAATATTCCATTCTACTATATTAGTTTTCTCCCCCGTGTCAGATGGCGTGGTGATGGTGGACGAGGAGTACGTGCGCGGGCGGAAGGTGTTCGCCCAGGTGCTGTGCACGTTCCGCTACGGCCGCGAGGAGGACGAGGTCATGGGGCTCAACTTCTACAAGGAGCTGTACCTCGCCTCCGAGCAGATCTACCCGGCACCGGAGAAGCCCTCCTACGACCTCACCAGGACTCAGGTAGCGTTGATGTTCAATCAATGAGCTAGGACGCACGAGGCACTTTCGAAAATTGAAGGCTTCTGCTGTTTCGTAGGGAGCGCAGAACTTCTCACTTAAACATTACTAAGGGCATTAATGTAGAAACAGTATTGGTGGGAACAGGCAAAATAGAAACTATTATGCCGAAATGTAAATTGATAAGCCTCCGAATGGAAATACTAATCACCGATTCTATCGAACGTTAATGGACTTCGCTAATGGGTCCATTGTTCAATGAAATTGTATGTATTACTTGTACATTAATACTTGTATAAGTTGATATTGGCTCATTATTTATATACATAATATTAAATCCTATGTGGGTAAAAAATGAAGGTTGTATTTAGGTATCAAATTTTTTCCTGGAAATAATTTATTTGTTAAAAAAGTTTGACAGGACACAAAGGTTTTTATGCCACAATGGACATATTACAGTATTTCATTAACGCCAGGGAGTATAGTTCACTACGGGTGATGGTTGTTAGGTTAATAGAAAGACTAAGCAAACACAAAGAAGGAGATATCACATTCGAAATGGGAGCACATTAACTGGATAGGGTTAAATGGCGTCGCGTAATAAATTTGCATTAGTACATAAGGGGCAGCGAGGGGCTCCTCGTGCTGCTCATTAGAGCGGCGGCGGGCGGGTTCAAATTGCATTGTGATTACGAGGTAATTAGACGCGGCGTGGTGCGTCTGCGGGCTCGTGGGTAGGTGGGCTAGCGTCAGGGGAATAGCTCCGCGCTCCGGCTGTCATTTAGACATTTCGCCGCATTACTTTGTAGTGCGAACGAATCGTGGCGAAGCGTCCCCCGTCCTCGTAGGCTGCGTTGGATTGCCACCGTTGTGCGCTTCCCAGGAGCGATTGATACGCAAGCTGGGCGCCGGGGCGTTCCCGTTCCGGCTGAACGTGCCCGCCGGCGCGCCCGGCTCCGTCACGCTGCAGCCCGCGCTCGAGGACGAGGGCGAGCCCTGCGGCGTCCACTACTACGTCAAGCTGTTCGTCGGCGACAGCGAGATCGACCGCTCGCATCGCAGGTGACGCTTCGTTGTAACCAAATGTAACATATTGTCAACAGTAAAAGCAATCGTTTGGTAGCACAAAATATACGTCCTCGTTTATATATAGCGGTGGCTTAGTGCAATGTAGTTAATGAAATTCACTCGCCCGTATGAACGTTTGCGCGCAGGAGCACGGTGGCGCTGGGCATCCGGAAGGTGCAGTTCGCGCCGAGCAAGCCGGGCCCGCAGCCGTGCACCGTGGTGCGCAAGGACTTCGTCCTCTCGCCGGGGCAGCTCGAACTGGAGCTCACCCTCGACAAACAGGTGACAGTGTTTAATTGCACACTGTATACTTGCCGCAGTCGAAATTCAGCTTATCCAGTACCAAGTACTGTATAAGGGATACTTGGCATACAATTATGAGGTTTTGTGGGAGGCCTATTTCCAGCAGTGAACTAAATCAAATTGAAATAATGATGACGATGGCACACAATCCAAAGAACCTAAGATCTTTAAGCATGAGTGTACGTTTCTAGCTATTAGCTCGTTCACTGCGATTATCATCGTGCCCAAGCGGAGACGATAAAGACGATTTCATTGTCGCCAGCTGTACATTCACGGCGAGCCGATTGCCGTGAACATCTGCGTGCGCAACCACAGCAACAAGGTGGTGAAGAAGATCAAGGCGTGCGTGCAGCAAGCGGTCGACGTGCTGCTGCTGCAGAACGGACAGTACAGGAACATCGTGAGCAGCGTCGAGACGCAGTGAGTGACTTGGCGTGCGAAGTGGAGCTGGGCCAGACGAACATAAGAGCCGGCTATGGTGTGTGCGCAGGGACGGGTGCCCGCTGCAGCCCGGCGCCAGCCTGCAGAAGGTGGTGACGCTGACGCCGGCGCTGGGCACGCTGCGCGACCGCCGCGGCCTCGCGCTCGACGCACAGCTCAAGCGCCACGACGCCACGCTCGCCTCCACCACCCTGTGCGTAGCCCGCCGACGCCCACGGCGCCCGACACCCGTCACCCGCCACCTGACACTCCACACTTAATGTCGTCACTTGTTGGCCCTTCTTAAGAATAATTCTTCCCTTCTGCTTAAATATGCTTAAATATCTGAATTTCATGTATTACGGTAAAAATATAACAGTGAAATCGAAACAATGCCATTCGAAAGATTTGTCTATGGAAAAAGTAGAAATACAAAAATAGTCAAAAAATTTATTATAAAAAAGTTGCTTTATAAAATTCAACATTATAATATTAATTCATTCAATAATTTTGAACCACGGGAACATCATTATTTATTAGACATACCAACACATTAAAAATTTTTGTGATATAACCTATTCTTATATGTACCTATACCAATGACAAGTATGTACAACTTTTACAAATATGTACACTATGCTAGAAAAGAATTTAAAGTTATAAGTTTATTATCATTAAAACTTTATAAAAAAATCTTATTGTTAAGAAAACAGAAAACAAAATCAGAAAGAATATTTTAACCTTTAATGGATAAGAAGTAACTTATTTTATGAAATAGTTGATACTGTAATAATATTCTTTCCTACTTAAATAACCTGTGCGAGTAATTTGGTCCCACGGTGAGGTTGATAAGGTTACTAAGTGTCTCGGCAGGCTGCTGGAGCCGGAGCAGCGCGACGCGTTCGGCATCGTGGTGAGCTACAGCGCGAAGGTGAAGCTGTACCTGGGCGCGCTGGGCGGGGAGCTCAGCGCGGAGCTGCCCTTCATCCTCATGCACCCCAAGGTCGGCCGCTGCGCCCTCCGCGGCGCCGCTTACGTCTCGAGAACGGACGACGCATAAGAAACTAGCTGTTTAGAATTAACAATAAGTTTTTATTATGCACCAGAATATCTCGTAGATGGCTGAATTTTTCCTACTTAGTTGACACTTATTACCTATATATTGGACAATTCACACAATATCTTTATAAATTGTGCCTATGTGTTATTCTGATGAATAAGATATATTATTGTAAAGTTTCAATAAAGTCAATTCAGTAGTTTTTGCGTGAAACAGTAACAAATATGCATCCATACATACAAATTAGTAAGGATAACACTTGTTCTATACAGGTTCCTAGATAGTTTTTTTTAAATGAAAGGCGAAATAAGACTATTATAATGCATAGTATAGCACAAATTAATTTGTGCGGAGACACTTCGACGTTGCCTCACATTTGCACCCTAAAAGTTTTATGAAAAATTCTAAATTAAGATATAATACGATCTCACTCCCGATTCGGCCACGACTGGCTCATACCGGCCTCTCGTCATTATTTTAGAGTTAAAGTTAAACCAAAGATAATCTCAATCGAGAGGGGGTGTTCGTGTGACGCAGGAGGGCCGCGGCAAGCTGATCCAGGCGGACAGCCAGGCCGACGTGGAGATGTTCCGGCAGGACACCGTCCACCACCAGGAGAGTGTCGAGGTCTACTGAGTACCGCAACAGCGGCCGCACCATTCCCTCCAACCACAGCTCGGAATACAGACAACACTATAATATAGTCAACTCACTCGCCTTGTAATACTTATACAATTGAATTATAAGCAAAATAACATTGATAATTACTAAAATACGTGTGCCAGCTGTGTGTTTTTTAATCACTGTTTGTACCATGGTATTTGAATTAATTGTAAATACTCGTAATAAAAAAAGTGAAGTTTAATGCAATTTATTTAAGATGTACTAAAATGTTTCAATTATTATTTAAATTATTTTACACAGATTAAAGATTATATAAGTGGATATAATATAGCATGCTTTAATAAATAATTATGTGTAATAGTTGCAATATGTCAAATAATCAACATTAGGCGCTGCTGACAAAATGACAATGAGTCTGACTCAGACCCACCGGATATTTATAGCTATACGGTTCGTTTTACGATTTTTATTAATTACGCATACCCGATTACATTCAATTAGTTAAATTGAATGATTAATCAAATGTAATTTCTTTGTTTGTAATTGTATAATCCCTAACTAATAATTAGGTTATTATTATATATTCGATAATCGAGTGTTGATTTAAGTCAGAGATATTACTATTAAATAGTCAAATTAACATTAATACAATATAACAACAATATATACATAATACAGCATCTCACATATTTGTGGTTTTATTTCAAAGTTCCTTAAAGCAGTTATAGTCACCGAAGAAAAACCGCATTTAAAAATCAAACTTCAATTATGATAAGATCGGTTTACATTGACAAAATAGGAAATATGCAATGTCTTTGAGGTCCTTAATTTTCATAATATACACTATTGGCAATACTGTTTCAACTTATATGTGCCTGCCGACTTCTTAGAGCAATATTTTTAATAAGAGAAAAACGTTTTATGAGTTTCCAAATTGCTAATAGATATTTGTAGGCGTCACAGTAATTCTGTATGAATATTTTTGTACACGATGAATAGTGCTAATTGAAATACACTACTATCCTCTTAGCGAATTCGATACCGTATTTTTATCTGGAATTCTGATTTTTGTTTAAATGAGATTAATCTTTGTGGTGCTATTTTCTTCATGTAATATGTAAAGGAAGCTAGATGGCACCTTGTAATACTTAAAGTAAAAAGTATAGTATCAGTCTATAAATGTCCGCTGGGCAAAGGCCGCCTCTGTAAAGAGGGTATCAGGGCATAGTCTACCACGGGGTCCCATATTTTTTTATTATAATTTCGAAAACATGCAGGTTTCCTCACGATGTTTTCCTTCACAGCTGAGCACATGATAATTCAGCACTTGAAATTAACAATTTAATTGGTGAAAGAAAAAAAAAAGATTGATTTGACGTAATACAGTCTGACGTACACAACAATCATTTAAAACAATAAAAATTAGACAAAAAAAAACATAAAACTCCAATATGCATATTTTCCCTTTTTATTATAGTTCGTCGCGGTTCATGCGAAAAAAGACAGCAGAATGTTGCAGTGAAACTGCAACGCTGATTTTCAGTATTGTCAAAAAAAAATTGGGGAACACAACATACATGTGCCTGCGTCAGGCATGATCACTGATGATGCCTGACGCAGTTTAATCATAATTTCAGTTAATGGTACGGTTTTAGTGCGAGAAACGAGAAAAAAGAAAGAAAAGTACAAAACTTAACATAAAAATCTTAAAGTAACAAAAACATATGAAATTATTAAATCAAAAGAAACATGAAACAATATAAAAAAATGTACAAAAAAAAGTAACTGGTGGCACGAGTGGTCAAGCCTACCGTCCCCGTCTATCAGAACTAATCATATTTCCAAAATTTATGTAAAAACAAATCATTAATTTATAAGGCTTTTTTGCTCAGATACGTGTTTTTTTAAATGATATCTAAAGGAAAATTTGGTGCCGGCACCGGGGATCTAACTCAGGTTGCTCGAGTATATAAAATAAATGTGTAATATTTAAAATGCAATAAAAATAAATTGGAAAAATAATGTATTTATACGTTTTTCATCGTTGTGAAGATAAGCCTTTTAGCTCAGTGGTCAGAAATTTGGGCGCGTATCTCGTTGGGCTCGGGGTCAAGTACTCGCAGCGGCGAAGAACTTTTAGTCCATTTTTCTACAAATTTCAAATCATTTCACGAAATTTTTCATTTGTAGTACGAAACTAATTTCTTTACCCAAGTCATTTAAATTTTTTAAGTACAAGTTAATTTGTGAATATCAAATTTGCATGTAGCTGACAATCATAAATAACTGATAATATTTGGGGACACACCAAGTAGCGGCCCCCAACCTCCTCTATTCCAATAGCTAATCCAATTAAAATTAACTAAATTAATTAGCTCCTCTATTCCAACCCCTAAGCTTTAATCGAAACTAATAAAACTGTGTCTAATCTCACTGACTCTCTCCATAAACAGCGAAGCGTCTCCGTTACTGGTGTCGAGATATAAAATTAATATCATTTTATAAGATCTGAAACTAATTTTAAAAAAATCTACATGTTAAACTTTTACAGAACAACAAAATGATTATATTTCTCTTTGCCGGCCGGTGCCCTAATGGACGCCGACATTGTACAGACAGAATAGAATGCGGCGATCGCGTCTCGTGTTTCTTGTGGAGCGGTGGTTGCGACATTATTGGGGTGGGGTTTGGGCGCCGAGATGGATCCCCGGCGGTCGCCGCGTCTCGGCTCATTTATCGATGCAGGCGTTATTGTGCCACGCCTCGGACCACTGCACAACTAATAGTCATTAAAAACCTTTATATAAAGACTTTACTACCTCAATACAGGGCAAGTAAATTGACAATTACGACATGTCCATTAGATTCAGCCTGCCACCGTATGATTTGCAATAAAATTGGAAAAATGGAAATCGCTATAAAATTGCAGCATCATTGCAGCTATAGAAAAAAAATCTGTCTAAAATTATTTGAACAAAACCAAAATGAAATTTAATATTTTAAAAATATTTTTATTACTTAACGAGCGGATAATTAAAGCACTAAGCGCAGTATTCGCAAGTAAGCGATATATTGAGGGGAGATTTGCTCAATCAGATCTCTCTGAAAGGCGCTCATCAGGCTATTTAATGAGAACTGTCTGCGAATTGGACGGGATTAGACTGTGACGTGACAAGTTACCGATCCATATTTTTTTCCTCCGGATAATCTGGTACTGATTGCCGTAACAAGCTTCATTAGTGCGATACCCCTATTCGTCGACTTGGTATTATTTAGTGGTAAATATTGCGTTTGTTGTCTCGTTCTGATATTTTAGTTTAAAAATCAAAGCTTGGCTTGAATGTTAGCTTTAAAGCTGGAGTGATAAGGCTTTCTAATGGAAACCAGATCAGTGTCTACTGTACGGTCACCGTACGATGTACCATCATGTAGTCAACTTTTATTTTTAGTTTAATTGAAATCTAACAACGAACACTGCACTTTCTTGAAGATCCCTCTTGACAATAAATAGTTCTTATGTCAGACTTTGAAAGTCCCAAAGAACTTTCCGTGGCAGCGAAACTAGGCAAATGGGCAGACTTGTTCGAGGAAATGCCACGGTCTCAAGTAGACCAGTGCAATGTTGAAGCTTTTATACTCTTGCATTTCGTAGGGTGAGTTGGGTAACTGAGGCCCATTACTGTCATGCTCAGTAGCAAAATTGCAATCCCACCAGATTATTCATGGCCGCTTTTGTACCAGAATATAAAGTGGTGATAATATTTTCACCGAGCACAATGTTTTTTTTTAATAATAAAGTGTGTTTTTCTATAAAAAAAGTAAATCTTAAGAATAGCATAAGAAAAATGTTTCATTAGCTTTGCAGAACTCTTAATAAGTGTCCGTTACTTTTTCACAAATCATCGTGCTTAATTAAAATAGATTTGCTAACAAGAAAAAAGCAATAATTACTAAACGCCTTAGTTCCTTCATTTCCCTTAGACTTTTAGAAAAGGGTTCTTTTAAAGAATCCTGTGCCATCGTATACTTTTTATTAATTGCGTTTCAACAAACACAATATGAGAATATCCTAATGAAATGGAAAATTTAGACAATACATATTAAACCTAAACAGGCGAAATTTATGTACATATTACACGTATATTTAATAATCAGCCGTACCGGCGCGTCGCGTAATGAAACTCGTTACCAACACGTGCAATCGAGTTGACTCGTAAGCACGCAGCTTCCCGTCGTGACCTACGTGTCTACGAAGAGCGGCCGGAATACAAAACATTCATTTATTCATTTTATAGTAACAAACACATAACTCTTATTAAATTTCTAGCTAAGATAGTAAGCTTTATGTGTGTCTTGTAAGCTATTAATTTCCTTGTATTATAACTTTTGAATGTTTGAGGGGATCCTTTTAAGAAAATTTTAAAACTAACCTTGCTAGTTGTTAAAAAGTCATTTTTAGTTTTTCCGCAAAAGGAAGCGGGGGTAATTACTAGGTAGGGTACTAAACAAAATCGCAGCTTTGGCAACTAAACGTGTATTTCTCATAAGTCAATTATTCATGTTTGATTCATTAAAATTGTTATATTAAGTAAATAAACGTTTGGGATAAGATCTTACTTCATATCATAAGAAAGTGGATTTCACACTTCTTTTTATTTTAGATATACGAGCAGGTGGAGTCATAATTACACTTTAAGTGTATGCTACCGTATACAATAATTAAATATACAAGGAAAACGCGAAAGGGTATTGTCGTTTCTCGGAATGATGGTTGAGGGTCCAGGTCATGGGGTGGGCTTTAATTTTAATTGCTTTATGATCGCATCGTATGTTCAGGAAGGAACAATGTAAATAATCCCGCACGGCTAATTCAAAACAGGGAATAAGCGTAATAAAAATATTTCAAGCGTTTCCGAAAGAGGATTCCCGTGAATAATACGCGAGGGCACAACAGGGCTGGTCTCAACATTCTGCGCACGTTATTAAGAATTTAATAAAAGGCAGTCGGC